TGTATAAGTAGTATTGTGTAATTAACTCGAACCATTGTGTATTTAACTCGAATCATTGTGTTTTTACCTTGAATTTTCCTACAATAGGCTCCGTTCTTAACTATGGGTCATCCTTAAAATGGGCTTTCTTAACCCAGGGACTACCTGTACTCAAAGAGCAAACAGGAACAAATCTGTCAGTGTAAATGTTTCACATTTCTAGATATACAGTAGCATATTGTTTAAAAGTTTTGCATAGAATTGTTGCTTTGTCAGATAGTGGCATTTAATACATAGTATCTGTCATTATTTCAGAATGAATATCCCCAAGATTTTAAATAATTTGAAAAATTAAACTTATTAGCTTGGGATGTGCCTATGCTTACAAGAAAAAAAACCCCATACTAAAGTGAACATTTGCAACAATTTATATTTTTTTTTCGTAGATTGATTTGTGCTGCATGTTGTATTTCTTTCCAGAAGCCCAAAATAGCAGTATGCAATAACATTTGCAAGAAAGAATCTGTCACTGCATATATTAAGACCTTACTGCTCTCTGAAAATAAGATATCAACTGGGCTGAAATCAATAACAGCAGTAACAGCAATGTGCAATCACACGATTTTCGTTGCGTTTTCCAGGCTATCTTTATCGATAGCCCAGAGCAGCCCTGCAGAAATTCAGTATAGGAGGACCACCAGACCTACTACCAAGCAGGGTTGGTTGGTTTTTATTTTATCAGTGTTGATTCCTGGCAGCTGCCTGAATTAGTCCCTGCAGTTTTCTCAGCAAGATTTTTTGGACTATGTTTACATTGCAAAAGTCCTAGCATATGCAAATCCTTATCCAAGCATGTTCTGAAAATTTATGTTTACTGAAAAGTGTGCAGTATATGGACATGAAAGTATAAACGTCCCTAATAAATGAGGCTTTAAGTTGGTAAGATTGCTTAGTTTCCTTTCAAGCAATTTATGCTAATGTAATAGAAGTTTTAAAGTTGTATGTAATCAGCTGATTGTCTTTCTTCCCCTTTGATATATTTTAAAATGTTTTTGAAATTTCCCCCAGTTCTAAAAGCAATTCACTGTATGGTACAGAAGCATGTGCTGCTTGAAAAAATTATACAAACCATTAGGGCAAAGGAACTAGTGATTTGGATCCTGGCCATTACATCTCTACAGACACATTATTTATTTTATTTAAATATTTAGGTACTGCTTGTACTGTACTGCAATGCATTTCAAGATGGTGTGCAGCGTTAAAATACATTTCAAGACAATAAAATGCAATTAGATAAAATATAAAATGCATTAATAAAGCACCAATAGCCATAAACAGTTTAACTGCATTGTTGTGAATTCTTAAATGCTGAGGAGAATAAAAATGTTCTCAACATCTGTCAAATTGTAACAAAGTCAATGCCTGATTTATTTGTGGGGGGCATTTCTAAGAATGGGTACTACAACAAAAGATATTTATAGATGTGGCACAATCAAGTGAGTTTCTAATGATGATTTCAGTAGTTTCTATGGGGTGTCATATTGTTCCCAGTGTTTTATTTAAGATTTGATATTTTGAAGACAGGAAAATAACTTACCTTTTATAGTGGCAATCTCTGCTAAAGATTATTTCAAGCAGTCCTTTCCTGTTTCCATAGTGTGGTTGGCCAACCAAAGAAAACTCAAAATGTTTTTGACCAATGCAATATTTGTGCTAAGCTAGGACTGATATTCCAGGTATGAGAAGGTCTCTCACAGGGGAAATATAATGGGAAATAGAAATTTTAGTAACAGTGATTAAAATGTAGTGATGTACTTATTTTTACCTTTCTTACAAAAGCCTTAATGGTCACTTTGCCTAGGTTAAATCCTCACAGAGACTATATAAAAGGAGAAGCTAAGGACTGGAAACTTAGGAGTTTGCTTCAGAAGATTAGGAGCAAGAAAGAATAGAGCTCAGAATAATATTAATTCAAGGAAAGGAAAGAGAAAACAATGAAATAAAATAAAGGAAATGGGAGGAATGGCACTGAGCAAAGAATAGAAGCCTGAAATAAAAAGAGGGAGAGTAACATTCCTCGCAAAAGGCATCGCGAAACTGGAGCCTTTGAATGTTAGGCAATATTTTATGTGGAACATAATGCAGAAGTTTGATGTTTAAGATGTAGATTAGTACTTCTCAGAAAAGAGACGCCTTTTGAGTTATTCCTTCTGTTTTATGGTTTTGGATACCTCAAGAAATATAGCGAGTGAACTCTTTGGGCTCAGGTTAAATTTATTTACCTATTTATTTAATAATGAATAATTTGGTTAATTTTCATCCTCTCTTCAGAAAAGTGAATTCCTCCCCTTACCCATCACTGATCCCATCTTTTAAATATCCATATTTGCCTGATGAATATTGGGGCCCCATTTGTTACTATGGACATCTGTGGGAATTTTTCCAGGGAGGTTACAGTGTAGGGTGCAACTTGTCCATTTCCCTGTAAGCATGCTTTATTGTTTAGTGTAATGTTTGATGATAGATATACAGTGCAGAAGCCATAAGAATATGCAGTATATTTTGACACCACCACTCTTAATAAATTTGACAGCTTTACATTATTTGTCAAGAAAAGAGACTCTTGTTCTAAAATAGGAACATGGTAAATCATCTTGTTCTATTGACTATGGTCCATCTAAGAATACTGCCTACACTAAGTGGCAGCAATTCTTCAAGTTTTTGATTGATTTCTCTCAGTGCTACTTGGGATTGGAAAAAATAGGGTTAGAATTTGTATGAATATAAATGAATAATTATAGTGTGTTTTTCCTTGTTTGATCTTTCTACTCTTAATGAGGGAAGCAGTATTAGGTGTTTTTAGTTGATGTGGAAATGGGACTGTATAGAAATGTCTAGTGAAGAATGAAGAGACATAGAATAAAGCTACAGTACTAGATCTGTTGCTTGCAAGTTTTGAATGAAATTCATTTAATGATGCTCATTGTAAGTTACATGCTAGATCTGATAGGAACTCCTTTGTTATTTCAGATGGTTTCTAGGAAAATGTAAAGTCTTGTTTTTCTAATGGAATTCTATAGGAGGAGAAAGACTAGGAATCCTGCTTCCTTAACAGTGGTTAAAGAATTGGGATGTTACTTGTGCATTGTCACTTCTACCTTATCTGTTAATTCAAATACTGCTGTTTCTGATTGCTTTCTTTTAGGAACCATACTATGTTCGCTGCATTAAACCCAATGACAAGAAGTCACCACAGCTGTTTGATGAAGAACGATGCAGGCATCAGGTTGAATATCTTGGACTTCTGGAAAATGTAAGAGTACGGCGGGCAGGATTTGCCTATCGCCAAACTTACGAGAAGTTTCTTCACAGGTAACAAATGATGAAAACATTTCAGATTCCATACATTTAACAAAAAAGATATGTTTGTGGTTTGATACTATGTTAGCATTCTTACACAAATTATAGATGTGTCTGCTAAAGTAACTTTTAAAGAGAGATATTATCAGTGTTACTGAGAATAGCTAAAAAAAAGGCTTATTTGATCATCTTTTTAGTATTCTCTATAAATGTATGTGCTTTTTATGGAAGATTAGGAGTTTCTTGGGAGATCTAAAGAATTTTTACACATACCTTTATTAAAAAGCATTGCATATTAAATCCAAAATAAAACAGTCTTTATTAATCATTTTTGTTGGTCTAAGCTCAGCTCTCTGTCAGCTAAACCACTGTCTCACTGATTGTACTTATTTAGAATTATTTGGCAAAATGTAGAGCGTGCTGAAAGTTATGATTTATAAAACATGATTAAACCATTCAACCAAACATACCTGAATCTTAGCTTAACTTAGTATCATTAGTTCCTTTTAGCTTTGTTAGAAGTCCTGTCTAATTGAAGGTACCATATATACTTGCAAATGAGCCAAGAATTTTAGGTGCCGAAATGCACTGAAAAAATTAGGTTCGGTTTATCCACAGATGGGGTTATATGCAAACCCAACAATTTAGTTTGTATATCACACTTTGTTCTATGACCTAGCCAGTTGTAGCTTATTCAGTAAACCACTGAATAACAAACCAAAGATTAGTGAGATATCACATTTACTGCAAATTAGCGTTTTGCTTTTGTAATACACGTTAGAATTTCTTAATTCTATATTAAGAGTGTATATTCATTTTCTTTCTTTCTTTCTGGGTTGTTGTGGACCTTTCTGGCATGTTACTGATCATCACACCTAGTGCTAGCAAATGAACAATGCTTTTAAAAAATAATACTGGTATCAATGCAGGTACAAAATAATCCCTGAATTTACTTGGCCAAATCACAAACTACCATCTGACAAGGAGGCTGTGAAGAAATTGATTGAGCACTGTGGATTCCAAGATGATGTAGCATACGGAAAGACAAAGATTTTCATTCGCACCCCACGAACACTCTTCACGTTGGAAGAATTGCATGCAAAGATGCTTGTATGGGTGATTCTCTTTCTACAAAAGGTGAGAAGCAATATTGAAATTTCTTGTAAAATAATCTAGCTCTGATGTCTGCAGATTCACAAAATGGGAAAATGTAACTTGTAAGATAATTTGCTTTCAACCCATGCTCCAGTCCTGGTAATTTACATAGGCACATCCATATCGCTTTCTTGGAAGTGATACAGGAATGGTTTGTGTTGCCTTCTTCCAGGATGTTGTTTTTTCCTTTCAGGTTCAGCCTGCAGCATATTCCCAATGTGGTTTTAGCTCTGTCTATAAATGAAGGGTTAAAAATAGATGAAAGCCAAACTGGATTTGAAGGAAGACTTGTCGATGTCCATAGGAATCATACAAACAGAATAATAGCACTTTCCTTCTCGTATGTCCCCACAACTGCTACTAAGAGAAATAACATTTTGAGCACAAGAGGGGTTGCCACCTTAATAATAGCCATTGTAGTCTCATCCTCCATTAATTGGTGGCAGTGTTACTTAAAGCCATCCAGGTGGTAGCAATTGGTACAGCTTGGAGAAGACAATTGTACAGTTAAACATATGTTATGTGAAAAAGTATCTCTGCCCATTCAGCATCTTTGGATGATCCCAATTCAAGTATTATTGAAAGAGCAAGAAAAACAACTTCATCCCTTTTCTTCATACAGTGTGTAATTGTTTATATCTTTAGCATGTCTCTTTTACTCAGTCTTTTTTTTTTTTCCATGCTAAAAAGTCCCTAATGTTCCTCCAGCTCTTGGATAATTTTACTTGCTAGTCACACACTTCTGCATCAGCTATGGTTGTAAATCCCCCTATATACGTAAATAAAATAAGTTGTTCAAACAGTAGTTTTAGCAATTGCTCATTACTGGCAAAGAGCTAAAAGTCTTTGTCCAATAAAAAATGTTTTATTATTGCTGTCAAAATACAATTTCCACACAAGGAAACTGGTTGCTCAAAACAGATAGATTGAAATATAAAATAATATGCAAACTTGCTTTGCAAAAATAAGCAATTTATTGTTTCCTATTGTCTGTTTAACTAATTAACTATTTAAATGTTGTTTGATTGCTGTTTTCATTATCTATGTAGTAAGCTGATAGTAATATGAGAAAAATGAGTAAGACAGAGGGGATATTTTTGCGCAGAGTAGATGGTAGAAATATGGGTTAGAATGGGACAAGTAATAATATGCCTCAACTTTGGGCCTCTGTGATTGAAGATTCCAGAGGTGAGGGCCATTTTCTCTATATGACAACCAGAAATAATTTCTGATAAATATGCATTCTCTGCTATTTCTTAAAGGATAGTTTTTCCTGTTATTTACCTGTCTATCCATCCGTCTGTCCATCATCCATCTATCCACACACACACATACACGCATGCACACATACATGCACATACACATACATATGCATTGGATTATAATATATTCATTAACTAATGTCATTATTTAATTTTATGAGATTAGCATTAAGACTTTAAACTAGTTTTGGCTCGTTCATTTTCATACTTACTGGTACTTGTTTACCATCAAAAGGAGTAGTATTGGCTATCTCAGGTTAAGAGCTTGATATAGAAACTAGGCAAAAATGCTTTAGGGAAAAATGAAACAATGTTTCTTCAATATCACACTTTTTGAATGCTTTTTTGTCAATTTTCTTAAACAAAAAGCAACTCTCCAAATTAAAATGCTGCCTTTTCATATTTTTTTGTTGCAGCCTGAATCCTGTATCTTTTTCTTAACTTGTGCAGCAGACGAAGATAAAGGAGAATGGATATAACTAAAGTTATGGGGTGCAAGAAGGGTCAGGGAATATAGAGTAAGATAAGGCCAAACATCTTATTTTTAGGTGAAATTCAGCTTTTGGCTCCCTTGATAGTAAAACTATCAGTGTGAAAGGTTTTGTTTTATATTTCATATTTGCAGTGGCAGTGGGGAATATTGGCGACCTTGTTTTTTGTTGTTTTTTTAAATTCTGTACCTTTTCATATCATGTACTACAGGGAATCCCCGAATTAAGAATGCCCGGTTTACGGACAACCCATAATTAAGAATGGAGCCTGTTGTAGCAAAATTCAAGTTAAATGCACAATGGTTTGAGTTAATTACACAATACTACTTATACAATGTTATACAGATAGTCCCTGGGTTAAGAATGCTCAGTTTAAAAATAACCCATAGTTAAGAACGGAGCCTATTGTAGCAAAATATGAGTTAATTACACAATGATTTGAGTTAAATACACAATGGTTTGAGTTAATTATACAATACTACTTATACAGTGTTATACAGTAATACTGCTCCGGCTTACATACAAATTCGACAGACCTTGGGAATGGAACTCGTTCTTAAACTGGGGAATACCTGTACTCAAGACTAGATTTATGATATTTATTCATAACTGTATTACGGTTTTAGTACAGTACAAAAAAATTGAACACTTATTCTTTATACATTATTTAAATGTGTTCTCTACTTTTCTATACCAGCTTTTGAGATAAGTAACAATAATAATACATAAATACACTGTACATGTATATACTAAAAATAACTCTTAAGGATAAACCTAATGAGAAGCTAACAGCAGAAAATAAACCAATCCTAGCAACAACAGTAACAAAACTTTTATTGAAAAGCCAGTGGAGAAAGGGGTTTAATAATCTGTTGGTAAGGATATGGGATACCCTAGGTTTAACTATATGCTTGTGGTTGGTGGGGCACAGAAGGGATGGAAAATTTGGGCAGATTCATAAACAAGATGGACCACAACTTTTAGCTGTGCCTGGAAAATCATGAATAGGTAGTTAGTTATTGAACTTGTATGTTTTTAATAACTACCCAGGTCAGAAATCTGATTACAGCCCACTAATGCTTCTCAGAGACAAACCCAGGCGAAATGTAACTAGGGCATAGCTTACCAGATACAACAGTTTAAGTAAGGGGCACAGTTACTGCATCAGTCTCTGTGGTTTGAAAGCACGTGCGCTGTTTGCAATTGTTTATTAAATAATTGGAGGGAGGGAAGTAAGTACATCTCGTGGCATTTTTCCAACTGCTTCATATTTTACTGTATCAGTTATATATTTAGTGTGATTTATATGAAGCCATTTAGTATAACAGCTATAAAAATAAAACCAAGTTGGTTTTGGAAATACCCTCTTTCATCATAAACATCCATTTACTGTTACCACAGAATAGGGCTCAATATTTAATGCATGGCTCTATTTAATCATACTTCTAACGTCTTTCTTTATTTCCCACTCCTGCTTGGGCTGGCCATTTTTGTAATGCAAACTCAGATAATTTAGGGAGATGCCAGCTTAACTTCTCAGAAACCATTTTGCTCAGTCCCCCAGGCTACCTTCCTTGCTTGGAAGGGCACGTGTTTGGTTGCCTCCAGGTGCCTTCTCCGAGGAAAAAACGGCATCTTAGCATACAGCGATGTCCCTTTCCAAATGGAAATGTGTCCGCCATCCTTCCCAGCCTTGTGAGCTAGCTGTCTTCCGCCCCGCCCCCTCACCTTGAGCCATTCTAGTTTCCCCAGACGTTCCTCTTAGGAGACTTGTCAATCAAATCCCCAGCAGCTGCGGTTGCCATAGCAATGTTTCTGGGCTAAGTGGTGGGTGGAGAGGGGATGGGTGGGAATAAATAGAGGAGAGGAGAGGAGAACAAAAGCTGTGGCCGGTGTGTCACAATTTAATATTTTGATTTTCTTTGTCCCCCAACATGTCCTTAAAATGGTACATGTTAGGAATTGTTAGCTGCAAACAAGCAAAAGCCCTTATGATAAAAGACAGTGATTTCATATTTAGTTACAGACCAACAGCTTAATTGGAGACAGGCTTCTGCATAATGATCACATCAAGGGTTTTTCATTTACCACCCTCTGAGATTGGGTTTCAGACAGTTGATAAGAACAAATATTGTTTTTCTATCAACATAATACATTAATAGACTGAAGATCCCCAAGCATATCCTTCAGATCATAGGGAATCATAGACCATGCAAAAAAGTTCCGTTTGCTTGAAAAAATCATTAAGGGTAACTCTTAAGCCTCAGAAATCAGTTTCCATTTGGCAAATAGCTTTTAACACTCAGATCTGGAATTATAAAGAATTCTAAATTACTCTAACGAGTAGTAATTGCATTGCATTGCATTTTACCAAGCCTGCTCCACTCATCAAACAACTCTGAGGGCCTCATGTTTCTATCATATATAAACAAAATAATCACAATAAACAATATAGATCATCACTAGTATGAGTGTAAAAGCACTTCGGATCCCACTCCCAGATTATGCCAATCGCATCTGGACCAAAAAGGTCTTCTCACTAAACTTAAGTATAAATATCAGAAATGTGAAGGACAGTGTGATCCGTCCACAGAGTCAATATTTTAACTTGAATTGTGTCATTCATAATGCTTACTAAAAACAAAAGAGGAAGAATGAGGTTGTCTATGACTGTGACTCATTGAGCATGGCAAGATAATGTTAACCATTTCATCAATCTCTATCTTAATTATAACATCTTATTTTAGTTTGTCCCTTGTGGGCCAACATTTTGAAGGGCAGTTGCTATTTTTTAGCCTCTTAATAGCCAAGAAATAGAAAACGTTTCCGCTGCAGTCCTGACAGCTGCCTCTGAAACAGTATTTCTCAACCTTGGCAATTTTAAGACATGTGGACTTCAACTCCCAGAATTTTCCAGCTGGCTGGAGAATTCTGGGAGTTGAAGTCCACACGTCTTAAAGTTGCCAAGGTTGAGAAACACTGCTCTGAAAGAACAGGTCTCATCTGAGATGTTTTGAAACAGTATAGCAAAGCTAACTGCCTGGGGAGAATTTATCTGACTCATTTCAAATTGGGTGCCTGGAAGATCAGTTGTGCTTTGACCGTGTGAAATATTGTTTGCCAAGTAGTTCAGCCAGGTGTGAAGAAGGTTTGGTGTGAGAGAATGCATGTCGACATGCTGTAGTAAGCATGAAAATATTTTTCTAAGGATTATAAAGCTGTATCAAAT